TAATTCCCATAACTTAAACGTGGACGTTCCATTAGCGATCACGTTCTTGCTCTACGAGAGTCTCTACGAGGATTTCAGGAAAGCATAAATTCGTTATTTAGTCATTTGCGGTACAACGTCCTAATGGCGGCAATTACCCGCACGACCGTCGCGTCGGCGTCGTCGTTATTGTCCACGGGGAGGTCGCGCGCGTGTGTTCGTATATGCTCGTATACGCCACATGTAGCGTAATATATGCGCAACATGCCTGTATATTACACGCGTTAAATGCATAGATACACGCAGTCGGTCGGCTTTCTTCCAGGGCCGCTCGTTAATGAAGCGGTGTTTGGCTCGTGTTCCTCTCGCTGGGCCCATCCTCACTTCGTTATTACACGAGACGCAGCCTCCGGGGTCTGGAAATTTCGAGCCTCCGCCACCCGACGCAACGGGAATAATGTCACTTTCCGTGTAACCAATGTAACCGTGGAAAATCGCAAAGCGATGCTTTCGCGGTGTGTGGCTCGCGTGAAATTCTGATAAATTGCCGCGCAAGGCTTTTCAATGCGCGTGACCTTATACATATACGAATTTTTACGCGTTTCTAAACGAGAATCTGTAATCACTGTAATCAATAAATATTTCATTAATAGATAATTGTACAGATACGTGTACAGTGATATCTTTTCTTTTTGTAAAAAAAGTCAAGCATTATGGATTAATATCTAATCACGTGACAACACAACCGAGACAAATACATCATTACAGTTATTCCAGATTTATTGGAGTTTATACGATTTGGCTATTTCGTGGTTTTGGCGGCGGAAGAAAACGCACGCATATACAACGATGTTTATTTCACTTTAGCGGTGCAAAAGAAAAATATTCGGAAATCATCCTAAGTGGTAACCGCAAAAAGTTTCGCGTCACTTCGAATGTCGTTTATATTGCGCGCAATTGAAACAGAAATTAGGAATAAGTTCATAGTAAGTTTAATTAGTAAATTCATCTACGAGATTTATATCATATTATTATATTACCGGCATATTATATTATATTATATTACGGCTGTAATATGGTAATTACTCAATTTGTTCTATTTTTTTCTACTTTATAACTTTGCTGTAACGTGAACTTGAATTAGCATAATTTCATCTTTTAGCATTGCATAAGATATTCTTTCTAAAAACCATTTATTCACGGATAAGACGTGCCTAAGGAATCCTGATTTCTTGCGAGACGCGCGCGTTCCTTCCTCGATTTACGAGGAATTCCTGACGATTAGAGAGAGAGAGAGAGAGAGAGAGAGTCGACTCGAGTCACGCTTCTTGTCACGGATCGAACATGTGACATTTCGTGACTGCGGGGACTTTTTTGTCCGCTGTACAAAACGTCTTCAGGCTTCTGCGCGGGATTGAGCGGGATCCTTGATCGCATAATACCTCGTATAAACGCTTTCATTGACAGGCTTAACTCTTTGCGCACGGAATACTTTTTATGAAATACGTGTAATAGTGTTAGACATTATCTTATACACACATTATCTTTATACATTATCTTATATATATTAAAAACACTTGCAGACTAAAACGAAACAGACTAACATAATAGGAGTATTCAAATAAGTTAAAGTTTAACGGTTTGACAGGTTATGTCGGGTTAAAGTCGAGTAAAAAGTTAATTAATTAACTTTGGGCGCGTTACTCTTTAAGGTTATGCAAAATACATAAGTGACTCATTAACCTATCACATTAATCTTTGGGTTAAAAGTGTAAAAATTAACTTTTTACCCGACTTTAACCTGACATAACCTGTCAAACCGTTAAACTCTAACTTATTTGAATACCCCTAATGTATTCATTTCTAGGACTGCCTCTAGCTGAAGTGTAATTTATATATTTTAAATTATATAAAATTTATATTTAAGTTTACACAGTTTTTCTTACTATCAGAAAAAATATAATCTTATCGATTTATTTCAGCCATCGACAGTAACTTCCGTGTGTGACGACGAAATTTTTTTATCCGATATTCTCGTCTGAAAACGGAATATTCGGACGGATGTATATTATAGCGCATGGCCGGTCAGAACGATGATTCGCTAGCGTGGAATTTGGAGAATACCACGCCGCGTTTTTCGAGAGCACATCCCGTGCCTCGTATAAAAATAGTTCGCCCGATATTACACGCGGCTTCCTCGCGCGAATACCGTTGTTGCTCTCATGCTAGTGCGGAAAAAAATGGCGATAATACTTTGCATCATACGGCCGGATAAAATACATCTCGGCTTTAATGTTTGGGACTGCTATTAATCACAACTTCTATCAAAAATTTGCAATTTATCTTTATTTTCTAAAGAAGAATTTTGGCTCAAATATCTGTTGTAAGATGTTGATTTGCGATATAAAATATATTGTAGTATTTAAGAGATGTAAATTAAATTTTGTTAACTCTTAAACGAAAATGTCTCTAAAAAGCAACTAATACTTCTATTTATTTAAATGTGCAATAATGATAACACAAAATTAAGAAGTATTGAGGAAAAGAGATCGTATTTGCTAGAATTATCACACACAAACGTCGGAATTATAAATTTATACTTTTGAAGTTTGACTGCTCTAGTTTGGAGAGAGATAAAATTCATGTCGTCCGTGTCGAGTCCATCGATGTCGAACTATTTCCGCGGCGTGCGAATTACCGTTACGGTATAAACAGAAAATATCACTAGCGTCGAAACCTCGTCGCGAAGTAGCACGCTAACTCACGGGCTTTAGGAGTTTGTTATTTCGGTTTTGGCGTTAACTCCCGCGAGCCAACGACAAGAGACATTCGCCAGACCACCCTGAAATCGTTTTTCTCCTCCCCTTCCCGTGTCCCTTCCACCGGTTACTGACTTTCTACACTGCGTCGTGACCAATAGTGCCTGATGGTGCTGATGCTAAGCCTTCGGGCACGAAAATAACTAAAACGCACGTTACGGCAATGGCGTGATGTAAGATTTTCCACGGTATACATATAAACGGAAGTTCGACGCAGAAAAGGCGCGTATTGGCACGCGCTAGCGGTGGATAAATTCGATTTCGATGCACCGAGAGATTGGGGCGAAATCTTTCTGGTGATGGGGTCTCTTATATTTTACAAATTGCTTATTTATTTTCGCGATAGTTGAGCAATAAAGGAATGTGAGAAAAAAAATCAAGAATACGCACTGCGACGAGCGTAAAAGTCTGGTAACGGAGTTGTTTTTACGGAGCTTATCGGGCGGATCGAATCGCGCACGCGGTCACGATTAATCGCGTGGAATTCGTGTCGCAGCCTCACCGGCTCCGTCGAGGACGATCAAAAAGTCCTTACCGCGTACCGCGGTGAACGGGACGCGCCGCCGCGCGAGCACGCAGCGAGAGAAGGCTCCTTTTCTCTTCCCGAGCCTCTTCTCTCTTAGCGGGCCCGGTTCCTCCACAAGAAACACTTTCAATGGACCACACGCGCGACGACCTCGCGCTCAGCGAGTGCGCTTCTTACAGGGTCAGGGGCTTATGTCATCTATCTTAGGGAGCTGCGCTCATATTCAGCCGCGGCGACACTCCAATGCACCGCTCACAGTGGGACCTTTATCCGAAACAGCAGAGAGGCTTTTAGGTCCCGTGCACATCACGCAGTAATGAGCGATGAAATGGATGAGCTCGTTTATTAACTCTCCTATATTGTACCCGACACTCGGTTTAAATGTTTACAGCAGTCGGGATTACGTTTCATTCGTTATAACCATAAATTTTTAGAAAATGATTGTTTTAGCCACGTAACAGTATCTTTTTAAAATATATAAATAGATCTTTTTTTATAATTACTTTTTTGAAATAACATTTCTGTGATGTTTATCGTCATACATATCTATGCTAGAAATAAATATCTTTGCCCATATCTAACATTATTAATTACCTAACGTATAATTCAGCTTATTATTCGATTATAGATCACTATCAGATAAATAAGATTTAATATCTTGATACAGTCTGCCAGACCGCATACTTATTTAAATTGACGTACGTAGATCGGCATATGATTGGCACTGCTACAAAATAAGTACCATGCAAAGAAATTAAAAAATTACCCAGCAAAGAAGTTAAAAAATATCACGTTTTAGATGTTATATACGAAATAAGTTAATTAGATGTAATGTACGAATTTAAACAAAATTCAGATATGACAAGTGAACTTGCATATCCTCTTGCACGACAAGAGCATTTTACTTTAAAACAATATGAATCATAAGCGGTGACTTAGAATATTGATTATAATATTCAATGCTTATAACTTATTCCCTATTGCTTGGGTCAATATGTACGTGGTTTTAAGGAAATATTCGTTAGCGTAACGAATTTTGCGTTGACAGATACGGGTGACTTTTTTTCTGTTTTGGTTCGTGCAGTTAGCTGATTTTATCACCTACGGGACGATTCCGATAAGATCGACCGTGTCGTCTCGTCACATCGTTATTCCTTTCGCGTCAAAGATAAAGTTGCCGCGCACGGTCGGAAGCGATAAACGATAAAAAGAGAGAGAAACACCGGCCATAAATTAATCTTTAAGTACCACGTGAAAAGAAATTTATATTGACAGTAATCTCTTTTAGGAACTCTCTTTGGACGATAAAATACATTAAAAAATTGTGTACAGAATAAAAAATATATATAACTGTGATGTATAATACATATATTACTTTTTTAAATATATATTTTCTAAATAAATATGTATGTATATGTTATATTATTTTAATCCCGTTTAACATTAAGATATTTTACTATAAAGTTGTAAATTATAAAAGATAATGTCCATTCAAATTCTTGTTTTGTTGCTATAGTTTAAAATATAAAACAAATTCACCTAATTATAAGTATCTGTAATCAAGAAAAAATAGACACATTTATAGGGCAACAACTTGTTATCGAAACTAATGGGGATTATGTAGGCAAAGCGAATAATATGAAATGTCTTGAATAATATCAACTTTTGTGTTACAGTGGCCCACGTGGTTTTTCCGCCCAGATCTTTCGCTTGGCACGCCACTACCGACGAGTCACGTTCCAAATTCGAGTAACGTTCCTACTTCGTCGCCTCTGCCATCTCGGACGCATCTGGATGCTCCGAAAGGGCCGGAGCTTCCTTCCAACAGCAACAAAGTCCATGGACAGACGCCAACGATATGCACAGTGAGTGACACGTTTGATCATTCGCAATTTGATTCTGCCAACTAGACCGCGATAATTGTGCGACTGTTGTCTTGCCAGTATACAAATCTTACAAGTGACCGAATCCAACATATTGGAAACTTGTGGCAAGTCAGAATTAGTGTATATTTATAGCCAAAAATTTTTGGAAAATGTGTATAGTATCTAATTAATTTGAAAAGATATGAAAAATTAATAAAATCAATAATGACAATCAAGCTAAAGGTATTAAAGATATAACAGCGATTACATACAACATTTAAAAATCTTGAAAGAAGAGAAATGTAACGATAACAATGATAAGTACAGAGAAAAAGATATTTTATTTTTTGAAAAAAATCATATTTATAGAAAAGCAATAATGGTCTCAGTAGATTGATGAGTATGAATTATTAACAATTATTTTAAAATTTAGTCGATTATTAAATCACTCAATAATAGTTAAATGCCGATAACATGCACGGTAAGCGATACTCATTCGCTCGTTGGCGATTTTAATTAATGCACAATATCGTTAATGGCGTCGATTATTCTCGACTATGATTGTTATTAATTTATTTGACCGCAACTTTATGCCGTTGCAAACTGCGCGAGTTGTGCGCAAAATCGTAATGCAATCGTATCCCCGCGTATATATACTCTCTAAAGTAGAATCAGTGAAAATATCACTAATTGAAACAGTAAAATAAGATTTCACTGAGAATCAGTGAGTATTTCACTGAACTTCAGTAGAACGTTTACTTTTTGTTTCTTTATCTTATATTTCACTGATTATGGTCAGTGAAAGTAAGATGTTACTGTAAAATCAGTTATCTGTTGGTAATACTGATTGATGGTGCGAGGAAGCGGAACAGGATTGTGATCTCAGTGATGTGTGAAACAGAAGACGAGAACGAAGTATACGTGACGAAGGACGAAGCGGTGCTAAGTGTACATTACGAAGAATGAGAGAAACTGCGGTACTGAGCTAAGCGTGCTTGCGAAAAAGGTGAGGTTAAAAGTAAGTACGAAAGCTTCTTGAGCTGTAGTTCATTTACCGCGGGTACTGACGAGTACGGTGGCCCAACGGGGCGAGGTTATAGTTTGCCAACGGGGCAAAGATGGAGGCCCAACGGGCCCATAGTAAAGCGCGATAAACTAGAGACTGTTTCTCCCTTTTCATTTTCAGCATAAACCACGGCGTATTGAACGAGAGAACTGAACAGCAAACAGAATAAGATTATTAATCTCGGTTATCGTTGGAAACTTATCAAAAGGAGTAAGTCTTTTATTTCTTATTCTTATAATTTCTTAGTATAAATTGATTGTTAAAACACGATTCAAATATTTGAATATTTAATTTCAGAAGAACATTGATAAGGGACAACATGATGATCCTCCTATTTTTTCAAATTCTTCGTTAATACAGATATGGCTGTAAGTTTGGTTAGTGCATTTAAAAGTTATATATTATATATATTAATACTTGCTAACACACAGAAAAATCTTTTTTTAGGAAGGAACAAACATAGAGGCACAAGCTCGTAAGCTAAGGAATGTTTAATTTTTAATTGACTTCATTCTGTAAACATTTTGTACGTAACAATTACATTGTTGAATAAAAAATTATAACATGTATTAAGGTTATTACTTTTTGTTACTGTTTGCTGGGACATTTACTGATTTAATCAGCTTGCATTACTGATTTTGCTGTTCAAAGTCACTGTTTCCAGTAGTCCAATATTACTGAGTAAAACAGTCAATATTACTGATTTAATCAGTTCACATTACTGATTTTGCTGCTCAAAGTCACTGTTTTAGTAGTATAATATTACTGATTAAAATAGTCAATATTACTGATTTAATCAGCTCACATTACTGATTTTGCTGTTTTAAGTCACTGTTTCTAGTAGTCCAATATTACTGATTGAAACATATTAATAACTAATTCTTTCAGTGAAATGTCACTGATTCCAAGTGGTATACTTATAACTGCTTCAATCAGTGACTATTTACTGTTTCTCAGTAAAAATACACTGATTCTCTTTTAGAGAGTAGGTACGCGTCGTCAGTGTCGCGTTTATTCAAAATAAGTAAGTGATTAAATTCGATTTTTTTGCGCATCTTGCGATCGCGTAATGACGACGTATGTAGGGCGAAGTTTTGCTGCCCGACAAAAAACAATGCTGGTTAATTGAGAAGTACGACTGTTCTCTCGACTGGTAATAACGCATAATAAGCGGCAATTTTGTATAAAATTACGGATATGTTTGTCTCACGCGTGTGAACGGTGGCGGCGAGTTTCATAGCCTTCGGACGAGGTCGAATTGTCATTCGTATATGTTCGATCCAATCGCGTTCGTCATTGGTCACGAAGCGAAATAATTTCCACCGCGAACATAGTACTTTGTCGCGATAGCGTGCCGACAAGTGACACCGACAACTGAAATACGCGTTTAGCACGAAACGATACTCTCCTGCATGCTTACGTGCCGTGATTTTGTCTCCTTCGTCATGAACTAGTGCCACATGACGTTTCTGCCCCGTTGACCCCGAGCATCTACGAACCTCGTGCTTTTTTGCGCGATTTTAAAATCGCGACAACTTTTTTCGCTACAACATCGTATGTCAAGAAGAATGATAAACATAAACATACATATATACATTTCTCGTTTTTTAACGCCTGATGTTTATTACGAGTGCAGTGTAGAGATTAAAGGACTATTGACAAGATTTTTTAAGTAATATATGGAAGTTAAAATTGCATCACTGCTCCATATATACATATATCAGGACTTACTGTTTATTGTCTTACTACAGGGCGGTGTACATAAAATCGGCCCTAAACGCAAAATACAGTTACAATAAATTGTTTGGGGCCGGTTTTATGCGCACCACTCTCCGTATTACCCTCAACGTCACGATATTGACAGCGAACTATCCCATTGACGGTTCCGTCCTCGCGTTACCCAGTCACCCAGGTTGCCGGAACTCATTTCCGAGCTGGGAGGCGCATGGGCTTAACGATCGGCGACACGGCACAGACGTGCCGGTCGTGTAAGTTACGGATTCGACACGGAACACGATCGATATTCAATTTACAGTTTTGTCACAACGGTATTGCGTGTGTTTCGTGGAAAAGTGGTGCGGTGCCACGTCGATGGTACACCGTGGGAGTCGTTCGGCGACGCCGCTATATTGGCATGGTCTGAAACCCTGAAAACCGCGTGGGCGAGACGAGCACCTCGTTAGAGCGCTGTCGTGGCGCTCGTTAGCGCGGACGATGCGTCTCGTCGACCGTTACGGAGTCATTTAGACGCAATATTTAATAAAGGCACGCGTCCGGGACTCGCGGACAGTGTACTTTACCCTCTGTGAATGCGTCGAGAGGGCCTGGGTCGGGTTTCCACTTCCTCCTCCTCCTTCTTTTGCGCTATGATTGTTATCCGCACGTCATGTAAATCGCGACGCCCGGATATTAATTATCGCGCGGGATCGTGAGTAGTCGCGCCGAATGATCGATCTGGTCGTCGCGATTAAAGACGGCACTCGAGTGGGCGGTGGAGGCAATTTGTATCGGCCCACGGGCGTGTATAAGTCACGATGTGTAATGTTTGGACGCACGTACCGTATCGAAAATAATTTTGTCTAGGATTAATTAGCCATTGAAACCTATGAAATGATTGCAGCACATTTAATGATATTGGCTTAGATGTAACAAATAGCTAGTAAAAATATTGTAAAACAACTCGCGAGTAAAACTCAAATTTAGAGAGAATACTGTTAAAAATTAGTAATATTTTGATAGCGCACTTCTCGAAGATCAACTTTTTATGCAATATATGCAATTTTGTATTTTTTTAAATATTTTCCAAAGTTTCTGTAAAATATCCGATTTTAAGACTGACAGCGAATGCATGCGAGCTCGCGGGAGATGTCATTTCGGAGTTTATTTCTCCTCGTTCGCGTAGGTTTACGACGCGCTGAAACAGCGATCGCCCAGGCCTATTTTTATTTCTCTCATGAGCTATCCGCAGCCACTGCTGCCCCATTTATTCTCATTGTAGTCGCTCGTCGGCAGAGTCGTAAGGCAGCGTGGTATTATCTGCGAACGTTACTATGTATTTTCCGCGCGCTCCATATCGACGCGCACGGTCGCGCTAATAAATGTGCGTTTGTAAAAAAAAAAAAATTGTTCCGTTCCGAGAAACAGTTACTGCAAATTGCGACCGTGCAGAGGTACCTGGCGCGCGGTTACGCGATCCTCGATATTCTATCCGGATCGTTAACGGCGATAACGCGCAGTGATTTTATTTCGGAGGATCAAGAGAGATATTCTCTCTCTCTTCTCTCTCTCTCTCTCTTTCTCTCTCTTCCCCTTCCTGTCTCTCTTTTTCTCTTTGTGCGTGCGCGGTTGCTCGTCGAAATTCGAAGCACGCGGCGAACCTTAACCCTCGACCACCACATTTGATTCGGATAACATAACTGCCATGGTAATCCAGTTCCGATCTCCGGTAGAAATGGTGCAGTGTTTTATGTGCGTATCGCAAGTGTTGTTGCCCGGAACTCTCTATTTTTCCGTTATGTAACTTCCTAAGTAGGCGGGATTGCCAACATATTAGATCCTAATTAGCGCGTTAATCGCGGAAGAGAGAATTTATTCTTCTTACTTTTATCACGAGCGATATGATACGGTATTCACTTTTCTGGATACAAGAGCTTGCGAGTTATTCTTTATTACGCGTGCTCGCATTTCAGTTAAATCGAGCGTTTAAATGCAACCGGTATATAAGAGATACCGCAATGCGCTTCGGAAACATTTTATCTACGCGCATACACGGCCATACGTGAATAAAAATGTATCTTATCCGAAAGGGTAACGAATTTATCGCGGCGGGGTTACGGGCGCGGTTTCGAATGCGATATTTTTAGCGAGATATCGATGCCGTTAAATCGCTAGAATGGAGCTACCACTCACTATACCTTCCATATATTGCTTTCAT